CTTCGCGCGGCCGTTCAAAATCGCGCTCGAGTCTTTTTTTCTTCTTCCACGCGCCCTTCAGACGAGAGAACTAAAAAATCCTTTATTTTTTTTTTTTTAAATTCTTGCCCTTAATTCCGCGCCCCTTAATTAATAGGGCGCATGCGCTTCAATATCCTATAAAAACTAAGTTATTTCTTAACTGATTGCCTTGCGTTACGGTTAAGGTTGGGCAACTGATATGGGTCATCGCGGACCCACGTCTACATTCGCCTTTATACACGTCAATCCTCTCAATCGAGAAATTAACTCTCTATTCGCTTTATTAAGGATTCTAATTATCGTTATTTTATGTTGTTTTATTGTTCTATGTCTATTTCATATTGTACAAAATTTCTGTTAATTTATTTTTAATAATTCAATTTTTGTTTTAGATGCTTATTAATAATTCAATTTTAATTTTATAATGTATTGTTTTTGCAAGAGAATTGTTTGAAAAATTATGATTTTAACAGAAAATAATTTTTTATTTTTTTTAAATATATTCCTATATTGAGCAAATCTAATCTTTTTACGTTTACGTGATATGTGAGATTATATGTATTTGAATGTTTCAAAAAGTATTATATTCTATGCTTATTGAGTATAATACATATAAAAGAGTAAGTCATTTTTTTTTTAGACGAAAAAAAATGAAAAGAATAAAATAATACTGATTGGATATTATAAATATATTTAAAAATTTTGTTAGCTTGGGCGTTATAACGTTTCCATAATAATCTTAATAACATTCGATCTTTTGTTGGTTTTGAAAATATAATGAATCAATAAAACGATTAAAAATAAAAACATAAAAATTCGTACAATAGTAAAAAATATTGCACATTTGTTAGTTAATTGATTTATTGTGCTTGCTTTGTGCTTGCTTCACAATAATCCTGTTTCTTAAAGATTGTATCATTAAACTCTATATCTTTTTCAAAATCTCTCTTTTAAACTTATTAAAATTTTTAAAAAGAAATAAGCTTATAAATAATTTAATTGCAAAGTTTGAATATAATTATTTTTTACTTAAAGTATTTTTATACTTAATATAATATAATCACAAAGATATTAAAATTCATAAACGCAATAGTAAATTCAATTCTTCAATTTTTCCAAACAATACATTATAAAAATTATTCCTGATTGGCAAAAATATCGTCGATTAAAATCCTTTATAACATTTTCACTGTGTAAGTCTCAATCAGAATCAGTAATTAATTTTGCATGCAATACTGATCCAAATATAAGACGCAAATAAAAATTATAAAATTTTAAAAATAACTTTTATAATATTCACATATAAAGCACATACTATGTATTTCTATATTAAGTAAAACCTTACAATAGAATATCTTATATATTATAATATATTCTATATTCTACAATATATGTATATTATATTGTAATATAATTCTACTTTTATATTACAATATTATATTGTAATTATATATCATATTGCAGATAAGTATTTTGTAGAAATATTTTTCATAACAAAAATTATTTGTTAGCATATATAATGGATAAAATACTAATTCAATCAGTGAAAATGTTTTGCGTTAGTTTCGACTCGAAACAAGTGGTCGCCATGAAACAAGGTAATGATCACATGGTACCGCGATAACAACCAATCAAAACCCGCGCAGTTAGGATAAGGCCCCTGCACTAACAGATTGCTCTACGCCACAACGATACGATCGCGTTTCCTATCGACGCGTGCAACGTTCTTGCTTTGTTTCAATAAATTTCGTTCGTCGAGGGCAAATTGCGAGATAAATAAGGAGGATTATATTGAAGAGAATTGGGATCGAGAAAAATCTACGATTAATAACTCTTCTTATTATACTTTCTGGAGAAACAAAAGACCGATACGCGATATATGTTCTTCTGATCAAACTGCTCGTAACTAAACATAGCTGGAATCGTGCGAATAATGGAATCGTGAAAAAAGAAACAGGAAGGATTCAAAATGCAATGATTTGTTCTGCACCAAAAATCATTTGACAAATAATTTGTGTCTTGTTCATAGGTTTTTATAATAAGAACGTTGAAATAATTCAATTTCCATTCAGGATAATATTGAAAAATTTACGAATTTCAATTAATAACCTAACCTATACCATTCCATTCGTAGTATAATTGGCGTTAGCTGAAGACATCTCATAATTTCTCAGGGATTCTACAAATTATATTGAATATAATTCGAGAATAAAAATGTTAAACAATTTCGTAGAAATTCTAATCAGAAATCAAAATTCATGAAGTCTATAATCTACAAATTTTGAAGGAGCTCGAGATTCTAGAGATATAGACTGTTTCAAGTATCTATGATTTATTTTATATTTTCTTTTTTTTCTCAATCTTTTCTTTCTGTTTTTTTAACCTGATTTATTTTTCTGTTTCAAAAACATTTTTACACAAATTATTATAGAATTAATAATTAAATAAGAATTAAATAAAATTTGTTAATAATATTTTGTAATTTTCATTCAAAATTTTAGATTGTTTAAAATTTATGGGTTTCAGTCAGTAATCTAATTTATGTTACTCTATTATTAAAAATCTAACTTGTATATACATAAAATATATTTGATACTGAAGATATTGCATAATTTTTCAGAGATTTTATGAACCAAGTTGAATATTTGATTCTATATAAGAATCAGAATTATTGTGATAAATCAAAACTCATAATTCAATCTATAAATCTTAAAACAAGTTAAGATTCTAAGAGTACAGATTTCAAGTGTCATGATTCATAAAATTTGTTTTTTTTTTTTTTTGCATTCTTTATCTTGATTTATTTTTCTGTTTTATCAATCATGTTTACATGAATGATCATAAGTAATAACAGCAATCTGAAAAGGATTAAATGAAACACTTAACATTATTTTGAACATCTCTGGACAAATTATATATATTCATTATCCCGTTGACTAACCCCTTAAAGATCATACTTGAATCATTTCATTTTTTTTCAATTATATTTATCTCAAGTTAATTCGATTTTCCATTTTAAATTTATACAAAATTAAGTATAATCATATCATAATCATGAATTAGATTGAATCTCTTTTATTTTGAATTTGAAACTAAAGATAAAATTATGAAATTCTTTATTGAATTTTGTAAAATAATTTGACCTTTAAGAAGCTAATGGAGCTCCTATTTTTATTCGTTCTGATTCCTTTAGAAATGTGGCTCCTTTTCACTGTTCAGATCAAAAGAAATTAAGAGTTATGGCAAACGAGTTATAGCAGTTACTATAATACGAAAGGATCGGTTGATATATGAAAATATATGCTATGAGCTAAAAACGTCTCGAATAATTAGTTACGATTAGTCTACAGATTTTCCATTTCACGAGATAATACACGTTGAATAAATATACGGAGCTTGCTTATTATTGGAGCAGAAGAGAGATTAATTATTTCGTAACCTAGTCATATGTGTCACCGGATATGCTTCTGGTGTACATCAGCCTCGATGATGGTTCCTTAATTATATAATGGAAATCACGGGCATAAAAATGATTTTATGTTAATCAGACGATTGAATGAGAAAAACCATCAACGAAGTTTCGTAAAGTGAATTTTTCTTCGTTTTTTTTACGTTTTTTTTTTTTCTTTTTTATATATTTGGTTTGATTGAAGCACAATGGATAGTGACGATACCTTCATTCGAGAATATACAACGAGATTAAAAAGAAATGACGAGATATCACATTAACCATCGTTCTTCGTGCGAAGTATCAACTATCCAAAATCATTAGGACAGTTTAGAACACAAACAGCTCTTGCTTTCGTCATAATGGATTTTTCACTCAACTCAATTTTTTATGATATTTGTGATTATTTGAAAAACAAATTTGTTTTTTGTTATTTTTCGAAAACAATTTGTAGTCTCTTTTCAGAAATATTAAGTCAATAATTATTTATTATTTTTTTTAAATTACTTTTCACGTTGTATTATTATTAATAATTGGAACACTTAAGGATGACTTAAAATACATTGCAAAAGAATATTATACTTATCCAAGTATATTATATATACTTGTATAAGAATATTAACACTGATATTAGTTTATATTGAGCATACCCATTAATACTATATATAATTTAAAATTAAATAATATATTGTATATAATACATTAAACTTGTAGAAATGTATATAATATTTTTAATGAACATTTTTCCTCACAGCCTTCTAAGTAAAAATACTTATCTAACTAAAGACACAAGTGATTATTAAATATCATATTTTATCTAAAATATTAAAATATTTTGAAAGTACTTATTATTTATTAGCTAAGAAAATTTTAATTAAACTTTTTTTGAAATACTTTTTAATGCACCCTTAAGATCCAAATAATGCAACGTTATTTATTACTTTAATTAATTAGTTTTCGTCGAATCATGAAACTTATAAAACTCATCTTATTAAATTTTTATAATATTTATAAGATTATGAATAAATTAACAAGAAAGAGATGTTTAAATATAATAAAGTTTGTATTTTTAAAAAATCTTTTATGTTAGATTTCATTGAGAAAATTTGATATAAATTTCAAAATAAACTATTTTGTTGATGGAACTAGTACAATGAAGTCGTAAATTAAAGCTTATTTAGCAATATTGATTTATACAATCATGTTCTATAAGAAACTATTTAAATCTTATGCATCTCTATATTAAGCACCTTTAATTTCAAGATTTAAATCATTTATATATATATTGGTATTTAAAATTTCTGTATAAAGATGTGCATCATATAAAATAATGCAAATTATATTTCTGGATTGTTTTTCAAATTGTATGTTATATAAAATTTATTTAAATATATTCACTATAAAAAAAATCAAATCAAAGTAACAATGATCCAAACTTAAATATAAGATTTATGACTGGATTAGATATATATAATTATTTTATTGCAATTAGAAATTGTTTTTTATACATATTAGCTATAAATATAAATAAATAAATTTTTAATTTTTTGAATGAGTAGCAAAATTATTTATAATATCAATATTTAAAATAAATGAAATTCAACTCTAATTTTACAATATCAATTTTATAATTCCACCAACAATACAATAGTCTATCCAATATATCTTAATTTTAAAAAAAAAAAAAAAAAAAGATAGACTATTTTACTTTTCATG